ATATTTTGGTAATTGTAGGTAAATTCAAATCAACTTATGCTCGATAAAATCGACTTTACTTTCATTTTGTTAACAAAACCTTGACAATATCGTTGTGATCGTGTTGTTTCGCAAGATCTAACGGCGTTTTCCCATATTTATCTGTCTCGTTGGCATCAAAACCTCGCCCTTCTACAAAATACTTAACAATATCTGTCCTCCCATTTGCAGCGGCAATGTGTAACGGACTCTGACCATCGAAGTTCTTAACATTCGTACTTAAATCGTACTTAAGGAGAAATTTCACGATTTTGAGATTCGGTCCCTTGGCAGCAAAATGTAATGCAGTCCATAAATTAGTATTTCTAGCGTGTAGGTCGGCTCCTTTTCGAAGACAACTTCTTAAGTCCTTGAAACATCCCTTTTCTAATGCTGCAAACATTCCTTGTTGATTGACGATAGTGATAAGGCTTTGACTACGTTTATTTCTCACTTTCAAATAATCATCTTTCGTCGATTTGCCAATTTGTTTCTTATTTTCCATTGTATTCTCGAAGACAAGTTCTATAGCATTCAAAAGAACATTTAACGAGGGATTTGATGACAATGTATTGGTTATAGTATTGTCGTGTGCCAAATGATTGCGCAAGGATCTTCCAGTTAACGAAGGAGAGTTATCGTCCAAAAGGAATAAATTCTTTTCTAGGTAACCTTCGTAACCTAGAATCGACATTATATCTAAAACAAGCATTTCAATCACTGATTGCAACTTTTTTTTGGTCTTATAAAAAAATAGGTCATCAGTTGAATTTTCCATCAATTTATTATCGGTTAAGACGTTATTTAATTCAGTTAATTTTAGCCGAAGAACATCATTATATATTTCTTTTGTAGTATTCCAATTTTCCTTTTGTGTAGACTCAAAAGTAACAGAGACTTTCTCTTTTAATTTTGTTTGCAAATCTTTAATCCACTTAATTTCTGTTTCGTCTTCGATAATGGAATAAATTATACCGAACACAGTATTAAAATGGTCCGTTCTACAGGGAATCGAGTTCAACAATTTAACGATTTCTTGAAGGTCACACGATTCTGTTCGAGGCGGTATGCTGTACAATCTCTCAGCAATTGATTTAATTTTATTAATAGTATTACTGTCTTTGTCACTGATATTAAAATATTGGATGAGGCTTTTTAACATATGAAATTCCCTCAAGTAATCAAGTTGTATGTCGCTCGATTTATTTTTCAACCTTTTGATTATTTCAGATATTTTCTCGAAAACCTCTTCCTCGACTTTGGTCTTTTCAGTGGTCTTATTTAGTTCTTCGACAAGAATCTCAAGCTCATCGAACTCCGTTGTCTGGAACTCTTTTTCGATTATATCAAACTCATTGCCAGTCTTAAAGAACGCTTCTGCAACTTCATCCAAGTACTTACTGTTCTTAATTTGTAAGCATAGTGCCTTGATGACTTTCATTTTCTCCTTGTGAAGCATAGTATTGACCATATTGCCAATTTTCTTAATATTACGCTGGACACCGATAAAAAATTCATTCTTATTTTCTTCGATTTCTGTTCTTCTCGCAAGTGATTGAGCATGTGACAGTGAGTTACGCAGACCCATAAGGACTTTTCCCGTGTTTTCAGGTAACCACTGTAGCAGGAATTCGTTCGTACAATCGGATAACTTTGGAGACATTAAAGTATTTTTTAGATGTTCCCCGACGACTTGTAAACTTCTTATGATGGTCAGTTTTCCCTGTTTATTCAGAACCTGTACAGAATCAATCGATGAGGCCAGTTGTAAGTAATCCTTCATTTTTTGTAAAGAGTAGATGTCTTTAATTTGTTGATAGTCGGTGTACAATTCTTTGAATTGAGGATAATTATCGATTATTTTTGCAACAATTTCCGGCCGTGCCCCTTTTGGGAGATGAGTGAACATTTCGGGCTCCTTTTCGTTCCCGAGTACTTCTGCAAAGCTCTCCAAATAATCAAGCACTTTGCTTTTGTTTAATACGACTCGATAATAGAAATTCAGTTCTTGTTGTTTCTCATGTGAGGAAACGAAACTAATTAAGCAAAATTCTATTTCTTCCCAAGGGATCTTATCATATGTCGATCTCAATTGCTGTTTTAAGATATGTACATTTTGCGCAATAAATTTTATTACGAACAGAAATTTATCATCTACTTTCTTCGTGTTCGGATATTCTGTCTTTAGTAAAATTATATCTC